GTGGCAGACGCCTGTGGTCCCAGCTACTTGGGAGGCTGAGGCAGGAGACTCACTTGAGCCCAGGAGTTGGAGGTTGCTGTGAGCAGTGAAGCCATCGTACTCTACCCAGGGGGACAGCTTGAGGCTCTGTCTCAAAAAAAAGCTAAAGATGTAGTAATAAGCAGCCTAGGGGAAACAGTCCTTTCCCTCACCATGTCTTATAATTATGTAATAGCACACTGAAGACTATGTGCCCTGATAACTCTTGCTTTTTCAACATGTCTTTATAATTTATTTGCCTGTGTTTCTCCACCACCTCATAAACTTCCTCAGAGCAGGAACTCTTTCTCTCCCATTCCTGTATCTGCCTTGTCCTCGCTGCAGTGTGAGCTTGGTGTTTATGGATTTGGACTGCGCTATTTCTTGGTAGTTGGAAAAATGGGACAATTAGATAATAAACACACTTTAGTTGCATACAATTTACAAGTCCATTGTGGGATATCTTTGTATAACAATTTTTAGTTGCAACATTAATTTTTGCATTTTAATAATTCCATTTAAATAAAGTGATTTGACTTATGACTTTGGTCATGTTCACTGCTGTAAGTACTGAATGACACATCATGAACCGAATAAGTAGTGTTGTTCCTTTGTATTTTTTTGGCAGGGCTGTCCAGTATCTAGAATGCTTGACTTGAAGAGTTTTTATTTTCATTATTACAGGCTTTCAAAGGGGGCTGTAAAGCTCCTCATGCTATGATATCTTCTTGTGGAACAATCCCGGGAAATCCATATCCCAAAGGGAAACCTAGTCGTATAAACGGGATATTCCCGGTAAGCATACTTGATGGCTTTCTGTGAAACTTCTCGCTACGTATGAAATGTCTTGTCAGTTAATGATATTTAAAGAATATGCCAGTTTATGGTGCTTCCCCAAAGGAAAAGAATTTTATTATGTCAGCAACTTACTTTATAGTTTTAACTCTGATGAAAGTTCATGTGTAAACTCCATTAAAGTATTTGTGTAAAACCTGCAGAATAAGCCAAACAAAAGAAGGTGACTATTTTATCTTGTAGAAGTGCTGATTTACAGTTACATTTAGTAAAGGAATGCTTCACAGCTTCTCCACTGCATTCGCAGGCTCACTCAGTCACTGGTGTTTGGGGGACTCTGTACCAGGCTTTCTCCCTGGAGAATCACACTGCATAAGAAAGGCTCTGTGAAATCCTCTAAGAAAGAAGTTTTTGTATCATCTAGTGTTCCTCAAACCCTTTTGTAGAATAACTTTTTCAAAGAATACGTGAGGGGATTAACAACATGTGGTGTATTTGTACACCATGGACTACTATTCAGCCGTGAAGAATGATGACTTAATCCCTTTTGCAATATGTGGATATAACTGGAGAATGTTGCATTTCTATTGTTATGTAACAAACCGCCCCAGATCTTAATGGATTAAAACAAATGTTTATTACCTCACACAGTTGTTGTGGAAGTTGGTCAGGAGTCTGGCAGTGGCTTAGCAGGGTACTCTTGGCTCAGGTCTTATCAGGTTACATTCATCTGAAAGCTTAACTGGAGCTCAAGAATATGCTCTCTAGATGGCTCACTTATGTGCTTGGCAAGGTGGTGTCAGAGGTTGGCAGGGCACCTTTGTTCCTCACCACCAGGACTTCCTCAATACTGCTGCTTGCGTATCTTCATGACATGACAGCCGGCTTCCACGCCAGTAAGTAATCCAAGAGAAGGCAGGTGGAGGCCTCAGTGTCTTTTCTGACCTGGCCTGGGAAGTCAAGTGCCATCGTTTCTGCAGTATCCTCTGTGCTTCTCAGATCCATGCTGTGCACTCTGGGAGGACGCTGTACACGGGCACACAGGAAGTAGGGGTCTGAATGGGGCCGTTCTGATCATGGGCTTCCATACTAGTGTATACTACTCAGGGACACACACTGCTAGAGATTCATGCTGTGATAGTCCATCAGCCTGCTCTGATTGGGTAATTATAGCAGTCTCGAATGAGGTCTCATTTAGTCTCCACGCTGTAACAATCATACTTACTGTCTGTAGAGAACACTACTTTTTCTCATCTCTGTTCAACTCTATTTCAGGTATTCTCTTTATTCTTTGAGCATTGTATATACTATGGCATTGGAAGTCTACTTCTGGTTGCTGCTTGTGAAGGAAAAGAAAACCCCAAAATAACAAAACAACAATATAAAATAATACAAATAAACCTAGTATACATTAACAGTGTAACAGCATAACAATTATGTGGTACCTACATCATATTAGGTATTGTAAGTAATCTAGAAATGACTTAAAGTATGTGGAAGGATAGAAGGGTGTGCCCAGGTTACAAATATGCAAATACTGTCCCGTTTTGTGTAGGAGACCAGAGCACCTGTGGAGGTTGGTATCCGTGGTGTGTCCTGGAACCAGTCCCCTGTGGATACTTTATCTTCCCCTTCGGTCATCTCTGTCTGATGCGTGTTTACTTTTGAATACTTCTGCATGTGTTATGAGGCTCCATTGCATATGAAGATTAGGAACCTAACCAGGGCCATGCAGCCAGCCAGGGCAGAATTGAGTCTGCAATCCAAATCTTCACTCTTCTACCAAGTCCTTTTTTTCTGTATGATATAGTGAGATTGGTTGTTGTTGTTCTCGGTTTCTGTTTGTTTCAAGTCTCATGTACCTTCTTTCTCTTCTTCTTTTCTTTTTTGGTCTTTTAAAAACAATAGGGAACCCCTTTGAAGAAAGATGGTGAGGACTGTACCAATGAAGGCAAAGGAATCGCTGCACGGATTCTAGGACCATCCAAACCAGTATGTTGAGAAAGTAAACAAAACCGCTTTACTTTCTGCTTTATTCTGTCTATTCAAAGCATAAATTTTATTTTTGTGTTCAGAGTTTAAAGTGTGCTATAAGTTCTAGCAGAGTAGGGGAGAGTGAATGGTCTAGGGAGAAAAATAGCATAGTTAACAGTGAGAGGGAGCTTTTTGAGGTTAGACATTTTATTACTAAGTAATACTAGTAAGATTGCTCTTTGGATTTTTCCCCCCCAGACATATTCATGTGTTTAGTTGGGGGTTGCTGTGTGGGCAGTTTGATTAAAGTTTGTGGTTTGGCTAAGTTAGTATTAGTAAAATCACACTGGAGCCAGGAGGTTGAGAGTGTTTATTTGTAAGGGATTGATTAGAATGATTGAACATAAACTAGGCAGAAGAGACCCTGTGGGTTGAAGGATGCTTGGAAGTCCTAGAGTTTACACATAGTCACCAGCGTAGACCCTGTTCAGCCACGTGACAAGAACTGAGTGGCAGTGGTTCATGGCAGAATCGTCACAGATCATGTGCCTGGCACAGGTCTAGTGCTTCTGACAGGACCGTGTTTATGAGACATAGCTGGAAAGACTGGGTGTCTCAGCACCAGTACATGGCCTCTCCTGCCCCAGAAGTGAAAGTATAATATTTGACTTAGCTTTGATACTTCCAGTTCTCTAAAGACCAATGCTTTGAATGCTTTGTTACTTATTAGGTTCCATCAACTGTCAAGTAAAGTATTTTGTGGATTTTTTAATTTCCAAAGGTGAAACAACTAAAATACTGAATTCCTAGTTCTAGTTTACGTTCAACTAGAGTAGTCAGAATGCAGATTACCCGAAACAAGCAGTACTTTTTTCTTCCAAAAGAGGGTGGGAATGATAGGCTGAATTCCTCATGAGTCTAAGAGGATATTGTCATTGGAGGGCTCTTATATAATTGAGATTCTAAAACTTAGTGGATTTCTTGTGTTATATAAGAGGAGAAATCAATTTGTGGATGAGCCTAGGCTGGGCCCATGAGAAGTTTGCTGTTATTTAGGTTAAAGTCTGAATGAATTAAAAAATAAACAACCTTTACAGCCTTCTTTGGTAAGATCTACTTTTGAAATTTATTAGGATCCACTTTTTTTTTTGAGTCAGAATTTTACTTTGTCGCTCTCAGTAGAGTGCCATGGCATCATACCTCACAGCAACCTCAAACTCTTGGGGTCAAGCGATCCTCTTGCCTCAGCCTCCCAAGTAGCTGGGACTACAAGCACCCACCACAGTGCCTGTCTATTTTTTGTTTTGTTTTGTTTTGCTTTTTTTAAGAGATAGGGTCTTACTCTTGCTCAAGCTGGTCTCGAACTTGTGAGCTCAAGTGATCCGCGTGCCTGGCCTCGGAATCACATTTATTAAAGCAAGGGAATTTCTCTCGTTCATGCTGTGTAGTCTAGTGGCACTCAATATGTTAGGGTGTTTTTCCTATTAGGACTAAATACTTAGACAAGACAAGTTTTTATTTTATTCTGCCAGGAATCATTTAATTGGTTTTCTTCTAACCGCATGATTTCCTCATTTTTTTAGCCTCCTTCAACATACAATCCACATAAACCTGTTCCCTACCCAATACCTCCATGTCGACCCCATGCAACTATCGCACCAAGTAAGTAGTTCGCTTATTTCTTACTTGTTTTTGGTTTTTGTCATTTATCTACTTACTGACTTGAAGGTGAGTGCTGGTCTGAGTTCTCAGGAAATCTGTAGCACTAATGAAACTCTGCTATGAATTTGACTCAGCACGTAGGCAGCTGCTAGCATCCTGGTCTGTAACATGGTATCAGGCAAAGCTTATTTGGATATTTTCCTTATGATAAATTAATTACAGATTATCTTTCATCATTCTTTGTGTATTTTCACTTGGGTAAATTATCTAGAATCTCTTCTTTGGTAGTTGGTATTCAGAGATACCATTAATGCATTTAACTGAAAAAGGTCAAGTATGTGTTTGAGAAAAAAGACAGATAAGTTAAGTATGGCAGGTTCTGTCTACTGTGCCATTCAGTGAGCTAACGCCTGCAGTGGGCATGCAGTGCAGCGGTTCTCAACCTGCAGGTCACGACCCACAGGAACTGTATCAAAGGGTCATGGCATTAGGAAGGTTGGGAATCACTGGTGCAGTGGGAAGTAGGAGTCTCTAGTTGTCGCATTTGTTTTCAGTTTTTATTTAACCCCAGACCTAAACCTCCATGTAAGATACAACTGTATCAGGTAACGGTTTTTAAAATAAATAGAATGGCTACATTAATACAGTTCAAACTTCTTGTCACTGAATGACATTTTTTTTTATTATATTTTTATTTCAGGTGCTTATAACAATGCAGGTCTGGTACCATTAGCCAATGTGATAGCTCCAGGCATACCCCCTCCACCTCCGTATACTCCTAATCCCACTGGACCAGGTAAAGTCATGTTATTACCGGGCATTAAAAGTAAGTGGTTTGGCTCAGCACCTGTGGCTCAAGTGGCTAAGGCGCCAGCCACATACACCTAAGGTGGCAGGTTCGAATCCAGCCCAGGCCGCCAAACAACGATGGCTGCAACCAAAAAAAATAGCCAGGCATTGTGGCGGGTGCCTGTGGTCCCAGCTACTTGGGAGGCTGAGGCAGGAGACTCGCTTGAGCCCAGGAGTTGGAGGTTACTGTGAGCTGTGGTGCCACGGCACTCTGCCCAGGGGGATAGCTTGAGGCTCTGTCTCAAAAAAAAAAATAAATAAATAAATAAGTGGTTTATTTGTACTCGATAAATTACATTCAGAGGGGACGGTTGTGCCCTCAGAAGGACAATTGTTTGGCATAATCTATCCTAACATAGGGAGTACAAGCTTAAGAGCCTGGTGGATCTGGCATGACTCTTTGGATAACATTGGGCAGTTTTCATAAAATTGATGGACTTTTGTTTCCACATTTGTAATTGATGACTTTTGTTTCCACATTGTTCACTGATGTATGCAACTACTAGTAGGTGACTCTAGTGTGTGCTGTGTACCAGGGATACAAAAGTGAACCAACAGTCTATAGTGAAAAGTCCAGAGGAAGAAGGAGAAGGCAACTGCAGTATATTCCTCGTCAGTGCGTCTGAATTGCACTGGGTTTAGTTTAAATTTTTTTTAATTGGAATGTGGTTTATAACATGGCATCTCGACTCTGAGATATGGGTAAGCTGGGATGATCAGTGCTGTGAGAGAGTACAGGTGCTGTGGAAATTCATAGGAGGGGCATCCACGCCAGCCTGCAAAAATTAATGTGAGCGGCTTGCATACTGTTCTGCTAAACTTGTTGCCATTTAGTTGAATTAAGTTGCAGAAGAGATAGGTAAAAACAGATTGGTACTGAAATATGAGGAATAGTAAAGTAACAGACACGTAGTTTCTCTGCAGCCTGGAACTACCTGGGGCACTTTCTCAAACCATCCTCAGTTCCCTATTTGTGTAGTGATTCTGCTTCATTGAGTTAGATCTGGGGGCTACTGTATTTTTTAATGATCTGCAGGTGATTTTTAAGCAAGCTTGAGAAAACTAGAATCTACCCACAACCCAAAAAGGATCAGTTTTTTTCCACGGCTCTTTGTTAACTGCCAGATTGAAGACAGCTCAGAGACTTTCTGTCTCCTTTATTGAGAATTTGTGGGCATTAGGGCAGATGCCTGTCTGGCTCAGCAAAGGAGCACTTGAGAGAGAGGCCGAAATTGATGGATGAATATGTATTCGGTTAACACTGGGGTAGCAAAGAATACTCTGCCCAAAGAAAGCTTATCATACACAGAGATAAAGGTTAGACCTTGTGGAAGGGGTGAATTTAGCACCCTGTGTGTGGCTTAGGTGGGGAAGGAGTTGGGAGCCAGCACTCTGTAGCCTGAGTTTCACAGTTGGTGTGGTGATATCCCCCGTTCACTTTAAAATGACATAAAGGCTACACTCAAGTGGCCTTGGGCCACATCTATGAACATGGGCAGGTTATAGAAAACAATTTCTCATGAGTGACAGACCTGCCCTGGAGAAGTGTGATTGATTCAACAAATGCC